CATAAAACGGAAAGTAGTGTTGGAACACTCCAAGTCCTGTTCCCATTGATTTAGATATAATGGGTAAGGACTAAGTTGATATTTTAATAAAATCTTATAAATTTGAGATATTCCATGACGTGGTGATTCTGATGCAAAAAATATTTTTTCCAAAAGTGTAAGCTGCGAGGTAGTGCGAAAAGGCTTTGGTAGTGATGAAATAAAATGTGATAGTTGCCTATGTCTCCACGTGTCAAATGGGTAAGTCCCCCATTGTTCTCTAAGAGATTCTAACGAAAGTGGTCTATCTCCACCACCGACAAAGTAAAAAATCTAAGCCAAAATAGCTGATATGAAAATATTCTTCAATTTTGCTCACTTTCAAGTTCAGCTTTGTTGTCCTAGGTTGTTCACTTCTCCTGCCTTCTCCAAACTCTACACCCTTTTGTGAATAGCCCTGTTAGTGTCGTTGACTGTATCTATCCTATTTAGCATTTAAGTATTTCTGAGCTCTGATGGTCTTCCCTAAGGTTTTTTGCATCTGCCTTTTTTTGTGAAGGAGGTTCCAGTAATTTAAGTGGGAAGGACAATCACTGAGTTATAATAATGTATCTGACCCAACCAATCCCAAAGGTCCTTATTTAGAGATATGATTATGGAAAATTATAAATATTTGGGGCACCTTTCCAGATTGTCTGGGGAGGGCGTGTGTCTAAAATGATCTGTACTTGGGCTGTGCCTCAGTCTGGGACATGTGCTAAAGACCCAGGTGGTCTTCAGCTGCCTGCTAGAGAGGATATCCAGAAGTAGTTGGGCTTGCAAAGAATATTCTTTGTGAAGAGTGTTGCAGATGAGCAGGGCAAAAGCTACTGCTGGACACTGTAAAAAGGATTCATTGCCCACAGATCAAGGTGTCTTTGATTGCTATCAGAGGGTCAGGAGCCGTATTTATTAGAAAGAGATCCACTGCTACTCAAGAAAGACTGTGACTGTTCTTACGGGGTCACAGATCTTTCTGACTGCTTTCACAGGGCAATTACTATTACCTGTTAGTTCAGAATATTTCTCCTATTTTGGGGTATCCTGTACACTTAAACTAAATTGACTGGCTCCTAACCTAATATTGTCCTCACTATACACTTGCACAATATGCACTGAATCTTCTGGCTTGTCTGTCTGCCTGTGAGAAGTTTCAGCTCAGCAGGAGGTTTTGTGCCTCCTCTGCAGCCTGTTCTGGAGCTCTGGTTCCATCCTGCTACTCAAAAATATTTCTGGCAATTGTCTCTCAGATAATACACTTGAATTTGTGTTTCAAGGTAAAGTCTGCCTTGTCCCTCCCTAACCCTAACCAGCCCCTATTTCTACCTTAACCATACCTGAAGTTTATATTTTGACAATTTTTGAAAGATTAGGGATACAGGGATGAGAGGAGGTGCAGAAAGGGTGGGGGCCCTCCTTAACCAGATTTGCCCATCACTAGTTTCGAGCATGTTGGCAGGAGGGCTCAGGGCACATTATACATGGATTTAAGTGTGGGGGATTACAGTACAGTACTGGTTGCAGTACTTTCTGTGGCACTGATCTGGAAGCAGTATGCAGATGGAAAATTCTGCTGTTCTAACCTAACTTGAAAGTTTTGAAAACTAAAACAGTGTATTACTTTGCACATGTAACTAATTGCTTTATTAAGTAGGATATAAATAAATCTCTTCAATCATTTCAGTCATTTTAACTCAAGAGACATCTTTTGTGTCTCTTGAAATTAAAGCTGTGTCTTCCATCAAGTGTGCCAGATCAAGATAGACTTAGTAGAAATACAAACGTATTAATATTTCCTGTTGCTATCGTTTACCAAAAGAAAACCATTGTAATCCATTATACTGTTAAAACTAATATATTGTCTTTTAATATCAGCATTTGTTAAGTCATGTCCATAATATTTCAGATTTTAGTGTTTATTTTTTGTGATTGTAGATTTCCTCAAAACTATAACAAGTACAAATATATGATGATACAGAGCTATAAAGTTGTTAAATTGCTTATTTTATGTTTGTTTAAAATATTCCTAAAAGAAAGGCGCCACATTTACAATAAGTATCCATTATTTGGCAAGAACATTTGTAGCTTATCTTGTAATGAGATAAGTCACAAACGTGAATACAAATCTACAGCCTAAAACGTCATAAAATCCAAAAGTCTTATAATGAGAACATTGTCTATCTGGGAAATGGTTAAATGTTAAAGGTAAAATAAAGGAATCTTTTTATTGACTTTTTAGTCTTTTTTTTTGTAATTTACATCTTGTTGTGAACTTGGTAAGAGTGATGCACAGCAATGATTAGAATGATACCATAAAATACTCAAATAAAGATAATTCTTGGGATGCCTCCCAGATGAGTTCAAATGTCTTGTGCTATGTTGAAGAGTATGATAATAAAACAAATTGACATGATATAATAAAGTAAGCAAAAGCAAACAATGACAGTGGCAACACATTGCTTATTTAAATACTTTAGTTGGTTAGGCTAAAAAAACAGAGGGGGAGCTAAAATGCAGTGGGAGAGTCCCATTGTGTTTTGGCACTAAACCCTGCCCCTTTCATTGAGCTATTAAATGCCAGGACTTCAGTAAGCGGTAAAGGCTCCAACACTTGATAGTTGCATTATAGGGGTGGTGTTTAGCACAGGTTAATTACTGGCACAGGTCAAGGTGTAAGAAAAATTGGTGTGATTTCAACTAATCATAATAACAATAATAATAATATGACTACTAATAAATAATATCTGTATTATTTATCAACACTCACTTCTTACTGTTCGAGAGGGGTAGGTCAGCTAAGAAACACACACTGTAAACTGTAGGTTTAAAATAATGTACTGTAACAGAAATTTAAACAAACATAGCTTGAGTACTGATAAAGAGAAGGGAACAGTAATACCAAAAACAACAAATCATATCAAAGAGTACTACCACAGGAACACTAGCACAGCAATAGCAAACTAACAATATTAAAATAACACTACTAAAGCCAAGACGGCACCAACCCAACACCTCTACAACATATAAAATATGATAAACTGGTTGGCATATCTTCTCAATTGAATGTATGGCTATTACTCATTTACACAGGTTCTGGACTGTGATTCCCAAAATGGCTACTTTCCAAAATGGCTCCCTCTCAGATGGCCTCCTCTCTCCCTCTGATGGCCTCCCTCCAAAATGGCTTTCTCTCCTTGTGAGGGCCTCTCTCCAAAATGACTCCCCCTCCTCTGATGGCCTCTGCCTCTTTATTCTAACTAAGCCAATTCACTATCATTTGAAACCCTTGATTGGTCCACAAAACCTAATCAGAGCTGTCTCATGATAGTGATTGGATCACAGCTTAAGTCCCTTTGATCTAATAACACCTAGGTTGTCCAAAGGCCTGACTGGCTCCATCTTGCCTGGGAAGAGTATATATGCATAATATCTTGTGTTAATTTCCTAACCCAAAATACCACTTTGTACATTTTAGCATATCAAGGTGCCCATTGATCTCAAAGAGGCAACACTTCACATGTACTAAAAGGTTGAGATCTGCATGGCATATTAGCATGCTAACAAACTAATTTCTTTTATTTACACTAATCTTAGAGAAGCCCAATTTACAATTCTATTCACATCTGGGTGCATACATGTATACTTTTGGCTAATCATATGTCTTCCAATCTACTCATCATATATTATTATTAAATAGATACATTTATTTTATTTGTTAGTCCAATAAGAAAGGTATAATTGCACACTGCAATACTGCGTTTTTGTCTTTTTTGACATATATATATATATATATAAGGTAAGCTGTGTAAATGGGAACACATAATTAAAAAATAGTAGGGTTTTCTCAAATTTGACTTCAAAAGTGTAAGTACACCTTGAAGCAGTCACCTAGAGATATTGACTTTGGTTTATTGTCCAGAGTGCCCTGAAAGCCCCCAAATAATTATGTATTCCATAGCATAGTAGACGCTATGCCACATGTCCCATGGCTCTCTGAACAATAGAAATGCACACACTGCAGGTCATGTGAAGCAGCTTCAAAGTTCTAGTAAGAAAGTCACTATGCGCAACCAGAACGTAAGCTTGGGGACTTCCACGGTACGGTGAAGACTAAAACAATGTATACACAGCTACCTTTAGGAGCCTAATATGGAAGTCTCTTGCTAGTTGGATCATTTTATCCAAGAAACAGGTTCACTTTAAGCCTATCAAGTGCGCATCATTATACAATGTAAATAGATGTACATTTTAAGCTTCTGAATGGGGGTGGAACTGAGTGGGTAGAGAAGATAACATGGGTGGAAGGAATTTAGGTATGTTCCTGCAAATGAGTTTTATGATAAAATTAGATATCGTATCTGAAAACCTTTTGGTTCTGAAAACTTCATCAATCACATGGGAAGATTTGAAGGGGATGCCAAGAAAAAAATTATCTGTTCACTTATTTCTCAGTAGCTGCTGCTAAACCACAAATATTTATGATATGATTCTATCAGGATCCAATCTACTACATAATTGAAAATTGTTTATAAATTGTATCTAATTCTAGTACTTTACATGGATAGGTTTAATTCTCTATAATCTTTAAATTATGCTCCAAGTAAGACGCGCGTCTTGGTGAAAATGTGCGGTCAAAAAACAAGCACATCTTGCAGCCCAAACTGATGCATTACATTTTTTTGCAGCATTTGTTGTGTGTCGGGCAGTCCATTGAAATGACTGAGCTGCCCTATGGTGACATGCAACAAACGCGCCACATGTTTATGTGCACAGCAAGTGTAAATGCGGCCTTAGTAATCTTTCTACAACTTTAGCAAACAAACCCACTTGCATTTTATATTAAATACATGTGTCATTTGGCAGAGAAAGGACACATTTTAGAGTATGATGGCAGGTTTGTCAGATTACCATAGGTTAAGTGTGTTCTTCATTATGGCAGTTATGTTTGAAAAACAGTTTTATAATATATAATTTTTTTCCAGGTATCAGAAAGGATCGCAGGGGAGGACGTATGATAAAACACAAACGACAAAAAGAAGAGCAAGAGCAAAAGAGTGAAGGCAATGCATCAGAGATAAGGACGGCCTCCATCTGGGTCAATCCCTCTGTGAAAAGTATAAAGTTGAGCCCTGTTTTGTCTTTAACAGCAGAACAGCTTATCAGTGCCTTAATGGAAGCAGAGCCACCCATTGTTTATTCCGAGCATGACTCAACCAAACCACTCAGCGAGGCTTCCATGATGACCCTGCTAACAAACCTTGCAGATAAAGAACTGGTGCATATGATTAACTGGGCAAAACGAGTGCCAGGTAATCACCTACTTAATCATTACTTTTTAGTTTTTTAAGATTTCTAGAAGTGCTCATACACAGGTCGGTTTTCATAGCTGTTTTGGTAATACTAGAATTAAAATGAGGATGTTAATTACTCCTAATGCAAATCACAATGTATTTGAGACATGTGTGGTCAAAATGGTAGATGTGTGTATGACCACAGGTCTTTTATGTGATAATCTGTGTCTAGGGGATTACATAAGAAAGAAATTAGACAATATAAAGGAACAATAGCATTTCACCTCCTGACTAAATGTTAGCCTTCCTTAGGGGTCCAAAAAGGGCCTAATAATAGCAGATAATGTTCTTTATTTTGAGAATCACTTGAAATCAGCAAGTGAGTTCTAAACACCTGGGGGGAAGTAACGTTCACTTCCCATTTTTCAGAAAGGCTTTAAGAGTTCACCAGAAAGAGACTCCATGCAGGACATCCAGTGGCAAATGAAACTACAGAAAGCTTAAGGTCTACTATAGGACACACACAGATTTTTCTTTTCAGATTTAGCCTCGAGAACTAAAAAGGTGGAGCAGAACCCTTAAAACCATTCCTGACTAGGTACAAGAGCAATGACTCTCTGCGGGATAAGTTATTGTCGGACGTTGAATAGCAGAGAAAAAAGTAAGAGGGGTAAATGAGGGACTAAAGAATGTTTTTGCAATATGACTTGTAGTGGAGGGAGATGGCATCCCCTTACCCAGGTGCCAGGATATGAAAGTACTAATTGCATGAGCAGAAAAATCTCCAATTCTCAATATCCAGTCTAAGGTTCACATATTGTACGAATTTAAAGCTTCAATTGATTTGTCGTCATTTCACTGACTATATACAGATGTTAAGGTCAATTGCTACCTGGAAATATTAATTTAATGAACAATATATTCAAGTGTGGGTGGAACACAATTATTAGCATCCAGCTTTTATGTGGCAATCATTTTAATAGCATTAAAATGAATGGCAATGCACCTCCCACACCAGAATGCCCGGTAGGTGCAATTGCGTGGTACAGTGCATTAATCGCACGGGACTGTGCGATTAACACACTGTACTATTGTGAAAGTGCCCCTTAAAATACTGACAGACACACTAACCACAGACACAATTTCAAACACTCACAGACATTCACTCACACACACACAAACACACACATACAAACTCCCAAAAAACTGTAGTGGATCCTCATCCTGGGGTCCAGTGTGGGCTGCTGTGCTGTGACGAAGCTCCATCCATATGTGCATTGCTTGTATAGCTCCCTTGCACGCCCTGTAGAGGTGCTGGGAACCAGAATGTGATGTCACTCCAGTCCAGGCACCTCTACAGGGCGTTGGAGGGAGCTGTAAGCATGCAATATATTTTCGGGGTAGGTCTTATATTACAGAAATCCCCGAAGATAGCGCTAGGTCTTATTTTCGGGGTAGGTCTTATTTTCGGGGAAACACGGTAGGGTAAGGCTGAGCAGCCTCTCACCTAGCGCAGTGAAAGGCATGCGGCGACCCACTGAACACGTGGTTGCGACTTACGAGTTGAGAACCACGGCCTTACAGTATTTCCATCTTCTGCTGCTGGCCTGCCCCCATTCTCCGATTACCATTTCATGCTATCATTACCAGCATCTTGTAGCATTGCTGACACCATGACCATCGCCGACCTCGTCTGCTGCCTTCCACCATTACCATCTGGTGCTGCCTTTACTTGCCTATGTTGGTGCTCCAGCAATGCAAAGGCACCAAGCATAATTTTTCTGCAGCTAGGCATCAACTGCAAAGTTTGTAATGGTATCCTATGTTGTACCTCAAAGTCTCCAGTGTATTCTGGTGATCAGACACTGTTAGGGTACCACACATACTGTTTCCACAGTTGGTCCTCAGCTGTAAAATGTATAGAGTTTGCTGCAGGGTAAATCATGCTCTGTGTCTCCTAGTTTGCTGCCTATTCCACTGCTCCAGCCATCAACAATTATTGTGGCTACTATCTCTCCAACTTTGTTTACTCTAATTTCTTGATTAAAACCTACCTGCTTTCTCCCTGTTAAATTGGGGGTAACAATTGTGCTTAGATACTGTACATGGAGTCAGTATAATAAATATATTTGAACTTTTTTATGCAATACAGGCTATGCACTAGTCCTTCATTATTGTTGTCTCTGAAATAATACACTCTAACTTTTATTTCATGATAAAACCTGCCTTAAATCTACCTCTTCAATTGTAGCCTAGTAAAACATATATAAAGTGCAGCGATCCTACATAATATTTCAAAACACCTAATGTGAAAACAATAAAAAGTATGTCTGAGAGTAGATGAACCATTGTACTTGGAAATGTAATCTGAGACAAATAGAGTACTATTAAATGTAGCTTAGAAAGGTTTTCATCTGAAATTATGCTACGCATGAAAATGACTTTGCAACATTTCTAAATATATGAATAAAAGATTCTATTCTCAGAAAGAATGTGATTTCCATAGAGGTTCTATTGTTAGTAAAGAGTATGTTTTTATTCACTTCTATTACAATCATCATTTAGTTCCAATACTGGATCTCCTATGTGACATATCAAAAGTATACCTTTTTGAAGATACTGACACATGTATGCCTGTTTATTAAACATATAACAAATATTAACAAACATGTGACACTTCTAAGGATAGTGTAATTTTAGAAGTGTGATTTTTGATATATTGGGAATGGGTTTGTGTAACAGCAGACAGGGACCATATAAAAAAGTTGTGGACAAATAAAATCAGCTTCTCAAGCAGATTAGACAATTTTGTTATGATATTTAGCGCATTGGAATGTGTCATCCACAACAAAAAATGGCCTTTGTCTTTTTCTGTGTTTTCCCTGTTGCCATTTTTCTTGGCCGGTTACATGCAGTGAACATGCCTAAGGGCTTGTTAACACCAAATGCAGACCAGATCTGCATGAGTTTCTGCACATACAGTGCAGTGTTTTTTGATGGGTTTTTTATGCCTCGTTTTTGACACGTTTGCATGTGTTCCAGAGCAGGAAAAATAGGGCTTGCTGCAGTTTTTTACATGCTCTGGAACTGAACACTGCAGTGTGAACTAGAGCCCAAAATACCATTGGTATACAGTGGACGCAGTTTTGATCCGTTTTGTAACTGCTCTGCTCTGCGCTTGGTGTGAACTAGCCCTAAGATCCTGCCTAAGACCACCTGCTATTACCTTTTTATTACATTTATTATTTAGTAAAAACTTGTATGCGCTAGTTGTTACATGCAACAAAGAAAAGTAGATGCAGATTTTTTTATACAGATACTGGTGGGTGCAAGACTCAGATTCAAAGTTTTAATTCAATAGGCTGCACCCTTTTATTTTACTCCCCAACCAAAATCTTGGCAAATGTGTCTATATGAAAAATACATTCAGTATGAAAATTATACAGTATACACACTGCAAACATTATTCATCTAATATAAAAAAGGCTAATAAAATAATAACGACAGTAAAGTAATAACTTCACAAAAGAAATACATTAACACCTCACCCTATGCTTTATTTTTACGGGTTACTGGGGCATGATTTTCCTGGACTCCAGGTCTTGCCAACTGTCATTGCTTACCAATGAGTCTCAATGGTGAAAAAAGCTATTTTTTTGCTTTGACCCCCGGGAGTAACATGAAACTAAGCGGTCTATTTAAAAAGGAGAATGGATATCAATATAAGCTCTTTGCTGGGCATCAGATTTTTTTCTTACAAGAATTTCATAAAATTCAGGCAGTGGTGTGGGGCCAGAGTGTTCTCTGCATAAGATGTAGAGAACACTCTCTGTTAGGAAGAAAGGCAGGTCATATGACTTTGGCAGGTCATATGACCCTCGGCTGGGCACTCCTCCTCCAGGCCCTTCTTCCCTTTCATGAAAATGAATGGGGCTTTGCTTGCCTTTGAATGTTGACGATCCTAAAGTGCTATTTGCATTTGTAAAGCACAACACTGTGATTTATAAATGTATTGTAACAGAAGCATGATTTCAATAAGGCCATGATGCTGTTTTATAACTCGGTGTAAAAAGAGGGCACAGATGAGGCTTTTCAGGCTAAGAAAGGTAGAAGCAAACAACTTTTTGGTGCATGCTCTTAGACAAAACTTTATTTGTAAAAGCTGCAAATAGATAACAGGTTCACTGTAAACTATCTTTATCTGGCATTAATAGTGAGGATCAGGGAATCTAAGAATGTTGAGTCTATAAAACATTTTATTGCCAATTGAAGCAAAAGAGCTCTGCAACATTTTTCGCTGGGCTCAATGCATTAAAAATCCTGTAAAAGCACAGTAAGACAGCTGATAATTGTAAATGTGTGCTGTATTTTAAACTTCAAGAAGCATCTCCAAACATTAATGATACCTAGTTTAGTAGCTCTTTATGTAGAAAGTAATATTACTTCACACGCCTTTATGTAAAATCTAGCATTTAATATTTGTTTGTGGAGTTATTTGGACATTATCTGTGTGTATAGAGCATCTAAAAAGGGTCATACAATAGGTGAGATTGCAAATGAGTATACGTCCCGATTATATCATTTTATTCAGGGCCGGCCTTAGGCCTTTAGGCGCCCAGTGCGAGAAAGCTCTACAGCGCCCCACAGTGACAACACCCCCAGTAATCACACCCCTCAGTGGCCGGCCGGCCTTATTTCCAATATCCGCACCATTTAAAGACTGCCATTTTGTTAAGCCCCAAAGAAACATATTCAAAAGTATGATAAAAATAAAACTTTTATTTAAAGGTATTAAACTTGTAGGCACAATATAAGTATTCTTATTAAAAAAAAACAACAGAAGGCAAACAAGTGGTAAACAATAAATGTCAAACTAAAATAGAGTCTCTAAAAATAAAGAGTCAGGTTTAAAAATAAAAAACAGTTAAATGAATGAATTACTATTTGCCCGAATATACAAAAAATTTATTCGGGCACATAATAATTTATTTGAGAATGTTCTGCGGCCATGTTGGCCA